TATACTACTTGTGTGTGTGTGTGTGTGTGTGTGTGTGTGTGTGTGTGTGTGTGTGTGTGTGTGTGTGTGTGTGTGTGTGTGTGTGTAATATCTATACATAAGTAAAATATATAGCTTACACATACACATGCATTGGTTATACATGCATATATATAACACATATAATTATTATTAAACTAAGAATGTTAAAATCTATTCTGAAATAAAATATTTAATTTGAATACTAATCAGAATATTTATTCATAAAAAATATATAAAATTCATTTATTTCATTTATTACAATAGAAGGCAATCATTTGGTTTTAGGATATGGTTCTTTAGAAACAGCTCTGCAAATGAATGGAAATGTCATAAGATTACTAAGAAGCGTTTTTCCGATGCATTCAAGTAGCGATGTGAAATGTACAAAAGACTCCACCTTGCCAACTACTGATAAATTTTGTAGAACGAAGCTTCTCTTATCGTTGTGGCAAATGGTGGAAGAAAACTATCCTGTACCTCTAAAAGGAACATTAGCAGACAGGTAAGATTTCGTATTACACAAACATCAATCGTTAACATCATAATGTAATTAATGAGTTAAAATAATTTTAGATACAATTCGTACATATTAACAAAAGATGTTTATGAGGAAGCCACATCAACATCGCCAATGTTTAGCTTAGATTGCGAGATGTGCCTGACCACAACTGGCAATCTAGAACTTACCAGAATAAGTATCGTAGATGAGAGTATGAATGTAAGTATAATTGCACATGCATTATGCATAATACATGTACAATAGCCGTAAATAATTATATAATTTTTATAGGTTATTTACGATAGTCTAGTGAAACCGAAGAATACAATAACGAATTATTTGACTCAGTACAGCGGTATTACTGAGGCCATGTTACATGACGTTACGGTTACATTGCATGATGTTCAGCAGACGTTAAGGACATTACTCCCTCCAGACGCAATTCTCGTAGGACAAAGTTTGAATTCTGATTTACATACGTTAAAAATGATGCATCCTTACATCATTGATACTTCTGTGATATTCAATCTTACTGGGGACAGGTATTGTCAAATATTACCGTAAATATTAATGTTGATGAAGTCCATAGTTTCGATTAATAGTCGATCGATATTGTTTTACATAGGTATAGGAAAACGAAATTGCAGATTTTGGCGCGTGAGTTCCTTGGGGAAAGTATTCAAAACGATAAAAATGGACATTGTTCGACAGAGGACTCGAAAGCTTCTATGAAATTGGTAAAGTTAAAATTGGCGAATAGCGTGGATTATGGGGATGCCGTGTTGCTTGGTGATCGCAGCATAAAAGTTTTGAAAATGGAAATGACCAGAGATAAGACGAAGCAGGCATCGAAGAAAACAGAAATAAAAAAATATGCTACATCGATATTTAATCATATAACGAAAAATAAGGGCACCGCCGCCATCATAGGTAGTAATGAAGTAATGTCCGAATATTCCAAGTATCTAACAAATTCATCTCTTAATATCATGGATGATGAAAATTTCGCAAAAGATGATCAAGTTAGTATACATCTGTAGACAATATTAAATGTTTCCGAATTAAATAATTATTTAAAAAAAAGGTCAAGAAATTAAAACAAATTGAAAAAAGTAAGAATGAAATTGTTTTCAATTATATTAAGTATCGATTTGTACTAATTGCAGGTACGTCTCGTGATAGCTAATGATGATGTACACGCTGTAGATCGAACCGCCGAAATAGTGATGGAGCATGCCTTTGTATTATGCCACGTAAAAGTTAAAGAGGAGCAATTAAAAGATGAACATATAGAAGAAACATTTCACACTGTGAACAAGTGGATTCATAAAGTTTGGCAATACAGTGCGATAAATAGTCTTGCGTGCGTGATATTTGGTGGACAAAATAATAGCGCAAATGGTACTTGTTTCTTAAATATCAAAACAGAGATATCGCCGAACATCGTAATACGAGCTTAAAAATGCTAATCATTGAACCATCATAAATTATGTAAAAAAAGTAATATGTAAAAAAAAGAAGTAAATTAATTTTGTTAACATCAAGTGCAGTAGAGAAAGAAATTTATTTGGCTATGTATCAAATTGGATATTATTTTTAAATATTATTTGTACAAATAACTTTCATTAATAGAAATAACATTTTATATTTTTTATTTATTTTGTTTTATATTTAAATGCTTATTTTTACACGAACATCTTGGATTCCTTATTTCATAAGTTTCAATAAATGGGAACAATCTATCACATACAAAATACATTAAATATCGTGAAATGATATGAAAAACAACTGAAACAACTACAATTGATCTTCTGTTGATGTTTGTTGAATTGATAATCTTGATGTACAGGATGATATAAAATAATATTTTTATAGTGTTTTCGATTGCAGTGGGTTTTGATAGTGGAAGAATCGCACTACGATATCAGTAATCGGTCTTAGAGTGATCAAAACCCAATGCAATCAATGCAATCGAAAACTATTAGACATTTTCTATGAAATGTGTCAAACAGCGACAAAATCAAAAAACAAAATTTCATTTCACGTGTTTCATCATATTTTGCAAGAATATCAAAAATATTAAAATATATACGTTCAAAATGTAAAATTAAAATAACATTTAACATGCATTACAAAAATCCGTTATTTATCATTACATTCATACAATTTCCTATTCCATATGCAAGCGGAAATTGGTTCTCGGTTATTCATAGCAAACATGAACTCCTTAAAAGTAGTTATTGAGCTATTTGAGCTTTTTGGCAATTGTTTCTTAATCTTCTGCAAGTTGGTCACATTGAATTTTGTAATACCAGAGGAACTCGTGGTAAATGAGTCATCATGCTCGGTCTTTATTTTCAATTTATTCGTTGACACAGACGGTATGATTCGCTCTTTGCTTCGCGAAATTCTTTGTTTTTCTTTGCTCTTATTGGCGTATCTACAAGATTCTCAATTACATCGTTTGAAAGACGTTTTAAGCCACTTGATGGTTTACTTGTTTCTTTTACTCTTTTTTTCTTCTTGATAGGGACATCCACGTGAATAGCATCTTCGATATCTTTGACTTGATTATTTTTTTCTTTTTTAATTCTTTAGAAGTTTTAACACACGTTTCTGCAGCTCGGATAGCTTCTAGTGCTTGGTCTCGCGCTTTAACAAAGACTTCATTTTTTGATTCAGTCGTACCCGATGCAATATCTTGTACTCGTAGTGTATTAGGCAAGTTTTTCTTAGACATTAATTTTGAAATTTCAATCTGTACTGGCAAGCTTTCTGTTTCTTTCTTTCTTTTCTTCTTCAGCGACTTTTCTGTTTGCAAAGTTTCGATATTTTTTGCTCTCTTTTGCCGATCAGATTCTTTTTTCATCATATATTCTTCTACGGTTGGATTTAACTCTAAATTACTTAACATTTTATTTTTTTTCTTGTGCTGTGCTAGCTTCGTTTTATTTCTGTGAATATTTGTTTCAAATACATTATCTTCGCTTATATCTTTATCTTGTTCAGTTACATTAATTTGTTTCTTATTCTTTTCCTGTTTCTTCTTATTAATCTGATATATATCTTTATAGGTATTATTTTCTACAACAGTTAATTGATTAAGTTCTGTATGTTTTTCTTTTTAGGAATTTTTAATTGCATTACATCTTCAGATAATGCTTCATCAGTGAATGTATTTTTCTTGAATGTTTTCTTTTCTTTCTTCTCTTTTTTAATCTGACATGCATCTTCGGGAGCATTATTCATTTCAACAGTTAATTGATTAAACTTGATACGTTTTCTTTTTTTAGGAATTTCTAATTCTACTGTCTCTTCCAGTGAAACTTTATCGAAAATATTTTCCTCTGATGCTTCTCGTTTCTTTCTTTTCTTCATTTTTTCACTGATCTGATATACATTTTCACGGGTGCTATCTTCTTCAGAATTTAACTGATTAAGCTTTAAACGCTCCTTCTTTTTAAGTAAGTTTAATCTTAATGCCTTTTTCAATAAAATGTTATCAAAATTATTTTCTTCTGATATTTCTCGTTTCTTCTTTTTCTTCGCTTTTTCATCGAGCTGACACGCATTTTCGTCGGTATTATTATTTAGGACATTCAATTGAACAAGTTTGTTAGGTTTCTTCTTAGGAATCTTTAATTTTGTTGAATCTTCAGATAAGACTTTATCGGTATTCTCTTCTGATGTTTCTCGTTTTTCTTTTTCTTTGCTTTCTCATTGATCTGACACGCGTTTTTGTCAGTATTATCTTCTACAACATCCAATTGAGCAAATTTATCACGTTTTTTCTTAATCTTTAATTTTGTTGAATCTTCAGATAAGATTTTGTCGATATTTTCTTCTGTTTTTCGTTTCTTCTTTTTCTTCATTTTCTCATTAATCTGATACACGTTTTCGCCGGCGTTATTCTCTACAACATCTAATTGAGCAAATTTGTTACGTTTCTTCTTCTCAGAAATCTTTAATTTTGTTAAATCTTCAAATAAAATTTTATCGGTATTTTCTTCTATTTTTCGTTTCTTCTTTTTCTTTGTTTTCTCATTTTGACACGCATTTTTGCCGATGTTATTCTCTATAATATCCAATTGAGTTAATTTGTCATACTTCTTCTTCTTCTTTAATTTTGTTGAAGATTCAGATAAGATTTTATCAATATTTTCTTCTGAAATTTCTCGTTTCTTCTTTTTCTTCATCTTCTCATTGATTTGACATGCGTTTTTATCGATATTATCCTTTGCAACAGTTAACTGACTAAACTTGGCACTTGGTTTCTTCTTTTTAGAAATTTCTAATTCTACCTCGCCTTGAGATATGATTTTATCGGTAATATTTTCACTTAACATTTCTTTTTCATTGCTTTTCGGTATTTTTTGACTAAGTTCTTGTACGTCATTGTCAGATAGTGTTATCACATCAGTTATTTTATTCTTCATTTTTGTTTGCGCAGTATCTTGCATCATTTTAGATTTTTTCTTTAATAAACTTACATCTGTATTCAATTTCAATGTCGGCTCACTTTCGTTTAATTTTTCTTTTCTGAGATGTTTTATCGTAGGTGTTTCAGGATCAGTAATATTCAGTGTATGCATTCTACATGATTTTATTTTGGAAGATAGTTTTGATGTATTTGCGTTTTTTAGCAATTTCATTAAATCAGGTGAAATCTTATTATTTAACATTTTTTCTTTATCTGTATCATTAAGTTCGTTCAAACTGATATCTTTATTTAATGAATAGTTTTTCTTTGATTTCTTCTTTTGAAGCGAAGTATTAAGTATTGCTTGTATACTTGTATCTGACTTAATGTCTTCTGAATTTCTCCCGTATGTTTTAAATGCTTCATCAATCTCACATTTTTTTCTGATATTAAGATTTGGAGTACTACAGTTTATTAATTTGCGTACGTTTTTAAATTCAACTTCATGTAACTGTTCATTCCATTTGTTTTTCTTTTCAATTCCTGAAGATATTAAGTTAGATGTATCTAACAAAAGACTTCCATCCTTCTTTGTATCAGACTTCTTTTTCTTTTTAATTGGCGAATTACTCAAAAAGACAGTCTTTCCAGTTTTCTTTACTTCAATGTCTTGTTTCGCTTTTGTTTCATTTTCATAAAATAAGATATTTTCATCCATATCCTCTTTTTCGTTCATTACATTATCTTTTTCCTGCACATCTTCATTTTCTTCATTTTCACTTTCCATATTTGCTTCATCAATATGTTCTTTATTTTCTACTTCTTCTTGTGCAGCTTCATCATCCTCTTTCATACTTTGATCCTTTTCACTTTCGTCATCTTCTTCTGTGTCTTCTAGAAATAAAGAATAAATTTCTTGTATATCTTTTGCATCATCTTTTTCTTCTTGTACTTCATCTTCTATTTCATCATCATCAACTATAAAGTCTGCAAGATCTGATCCATTGTCATCAGAATCTGAAAATTCTACTTCCGAAGCTCTGCACTCATCAGCAGGTACGTCATCATCGTCGAACTTTTGTTTCGCTCCATCTAGATTATATTCTTTGTTAATATCAGAATACTCATCATCAGTATCATCAGTATTGTCAGTGTTGTCAGTGTTGTCAGTGTTGTCAGTGTTGTCAGTGTTGTCAGTGATGTCAGTATTGCCAGTGATGTCAGTATTGCCAGCGATGTCAAGGCTATCATCATCGCTATCGTTACTTTCATTTGTTTTTTTAAATAAAAAACGTGGAATACTTAAATAATATTCATTTTGAATACTATTTTCTGTATCCGATCCTGCATTCGCTATTGTAGATAAAGTTTTTGGTCCAAGATCCATAGCTGGTATGTTTATATCGTTATCATCGCTTTCATCATTATTCGACGGCTCGATATTTGCTGACTTTGATTTTTGATCCACGGAACGATCTAAGGATGTATCTTTAACTTTTTTAGTATTATTTTTGATAGATAGATTGTTTTCTTCAGATTCCGTTATATCATTATCTGCATCTTTGTTACACGACTTATCTAAAGAATGTTTCTTCTTTTGTAATTTTTTCGCTTTATGTGCATCTAAATCAAGTTTTTTCTCTGAATCCTGTATTCGAGATTGACATTCAAAAGTATTTTGCATAGATGTATCTTTCGAAGATGTATTCAATGATTTTCTTTCTTCTATTGATTTTCGCAAAGATATATTTTTCTTATTTCTTAGAGAGTTTCTATTTGATCTGCTTATATCAGCTCCAATTTCTTTATTTGATTCATCGTTTACTTTGATAGACTGGTCTCTTATTCTTACTGACTGTTCAGATCTATTTAACTCGGAAGTGGATTGATTTAATGCAGTTTTGGATTCATTTAAAGATTTATCGACAGTGACTAAATTATCTTCATTCTCAGAAAAATCTTCATCTATTTCAGTTACGAGTCTCTTTTTAGTTCTTGATTTTTGCCTTTTAATTTGTTTTTTTCTTCCTCGCTATCGACATCCATTGATTCTTCATCTATAATGTCTAGTTTTTCAGCATAATTCATTCGTATCACGTCTAGTTTACTTTTCAATAATACGGTATCATCAGAATCATATTCGAAAGGTTCTGCTTCTTTTGCGGCTTTTATGCTTTCAGCTGTTAACCATGCCTGTTTGTTCACCAAAATAAGATCTTCGTTTTCAAGTTCGTTCTCATTTTTCTCCTCTTTCACTGTTTGGGAAGTAGGTTGTACAGAATCGGTCTTAATATCATTTTCCTCCTCCCATTTGTCAGCAGGAATATTTTGGAATAAACTGATAGCGACATTAATATCAGAAACATCATCAACAATTTCCAAATCTTCTTGATCTTTTTGATTTGCTTTCAATGGCGAACTTTCCTTTTCTGTTTCCAAATTATTTAATATATCTACGCTCTTTCGTTTTAAACCATGTTTTATAGCTTTTTTGAACGAAGTGTCTACTGCATCCGTTTTTTCAATTGATATATCTATTGCGGATTTTTCAGAAACTTCTACGTCAGAAAGTCGCTCAACTTGAATTATTGTATCATTTTCGTTCGAGTCGCCTGTAGAATTACTTCTTTCCAGGACATTGTTGGAATTGGATGCTGATTTTGTTACATGTTCAGATAAACTTTCCTGTTTCTGTTTTGTGGAATCAGGAGAATCACAGTTGATTGCTTCATTCTGAATTCCAACTGATTGTTTATCCATTGCAATGGACTTATTGTTGGAACTTTCCTTGATTGGTGATGGAATTTGTGAATCTATGGAGCTATCAAGCTCAAGGCATACATTCGATGAAACTTCATTTTCGTCTTGACGCGGACTTTGTTCTTCTTTATCATCTGTAGTAACAATAGAAGTCAAACTTTCTTTGCTATCACTTATCGCTTTATTTATATTTCGACTTATAGATAAACGTGATGTTTTATCCACTTCATTCGACTCAATGTTCTTAGTTTTGTTGTCTGTAATAATACATTCTATTTTATCGATTTTATCTGATTCATTGATCATTTTCGTTGTATCCTCTTTGTGAATAGATGTATTTATATTTTCGATGGATAATTTATCATTATTATTATCTTTTTTGATTATCTCTATACTATCATGTTTTGACAAAATTATTTCATTTGAATCAGTTGAACTTAAAGATTCTACAGAAATATCCATCATTTCCTGAGAACTCTCAGTAGGTTTTTTTAATAGATCGGTGTGTCCCATTGATTCTCTTGAATGACGTCGTTTATCTAAATTCAATTCTCTTTTCGTAAGTTTAGTTTCTTTTTCATTTAACGATTTATTCATAAGAGGCGAAGCAAGAGATTTGGTTGTAGATGTCACATTAGACTGCATATTTTTTTCTGCTGGCACATTGGCAATAATATTTACTGTTTGATTTTCTTTGTTGCTTCTTATCTCTTCGATAGAAATATTATTCTTTATCTCTTCAATAGAAACATTCAACGAATGGTCGGTTGTAACACTTGTTTCTTCAGATGTTTCTTCAGATTTACATACGTTAGTTAACGATTTTTCTGTATCTGATAGATTCTCTTTCACAATTTCTTTGTCTCCTTTTTTACAGAAACTTATAGAAGAACTTTGAGAATTATCATACGTGATTACATCAATTATATCATTGTCAGACTGTACAGTTTTTTCAGATCTACTTTGTTCCTCAGCTGTCATAAACATAAATATATATAATATTAATTATTAATTATATAATTACATAATTATTATAATTTAAATTATAACTTCCGTTCTCTTTCATTTAAATATAGATTTAAATAATATTATAATAAAAGATAATGAATCTATGATATATAATAATTTCAAATTACTAGATGAATGTTTCTTATAAACATACATATGTTATAGGTTCTCTGTTGACTACTATTTTGCTATTTTGAATTATGGTTTTATGCTTGGTTAGATGCAATTAATATCTAAATATATGGTTATTTATTAATTATTGGAACAAAAAAAGAGAGACTATTCGGTATAAGTCACTTACAAGTCACTTACAAGTTTGTTTCATCAATGTGAATATTATTTTATCGAAGAATATTTATATTTTAATGTGTTTTATAAAAATTTTCATCGTGCATTTTCTTGATTTTGACGTCATCAATCCAAATGATCTCAATGAATCAACAGAATCTTTAATATTAGAAGATTTCGATTCGAATTTAGAAGAGAAGGAAAAATTTTTCAATTTTACTTACCAAGAGTATTCTCTATATTCACTGCTTCATCCATATCTTCAACTTGTATTTCATCATTCTTCTTTAATAATTTGAGTGTTTCATCTGATTTTGCCAAATCAATTGAAAACTCTTTATTAAAAAAAAAAAAAAATAATTAAAACATATAAAAGTAGAATAAAATAGTTTATGTCTGTTAGAAAAAGTTCATTTTGTTCGTTAGTTTGTTAGTTTAATTACTGTCTCTTCTACCTACCATGATCACAATCATCTTTCACTTCATCCTCATCCATACTTAAACGTTTTTTGTTAAAGTGCTGGTTTTGTTCAAAATGTGGTGCTTTATCTTGCGAAGTATTTGAATATTCTATAACATAATATAGATTTGCTTACAATTTCAATGAAGTTATTCATGAATGTCAATTGTAATTATATCAAGTATTGATATATTAATGCAATCACAGTTTTAAATACAAAAAGTCGCTTAATAATAGAAAATAACTTTGAGAAATTACCTGAATTTGTAATTTCTTCAGTCTCGACTATCGTAGAATCTATCACTCGCACATGAGGAATATGATCTTCCAATTCGGTTTGCTCTTTGACTGGAGAACTTGATGGCACTACAGATGCTCGTCTGCGTGTTTTAATTGGTGTATTAGGTAAACTTTTACTTTGATCAGACAAAGATTCCGGATCAACAGAGCTAGCTCTTGTTCTACGTGTTCTAGTTGTTGGCAATGGTGATTGTATCTCAGAACCAGCACGTGTATGGCGCTTGCTGACAATTAGATGAGAAAATGATTATAAACTTATTGTATATTATTAAATTTAATCAATGCTATATAATTAGCTATACCTAGCTCGAGTGTTAACTCTGGTAGGTGTGCTGACAGAAGTTATAGTAGTCGTTTTCCGTGTAGTTCGTTTTGTAGGTGTTTGTACAACATCAACATCTATCATCTCACTGATATCTGAAGAAATGGAATGCTTTCTAACACGTAGCTTCATTGTCTCTGAGGTATTAGAATCCATAGTCGCTGTTCGTGATCTAGTGCTCCGGGTTGGTTGATTAATACTGATATTACTGTTATCACTGTCAGGTGAACCTGGTGAATATTTATTCTGCTTTATTCTACTACTGCGACGCAATGGAGAGTTCACCACAGATTGTACAGTAAGTTTTGATTGTACAGTAAGTTTTCGAGTCTGCATATGAGTAGCTACAACACAAAGTAGAAGACTAAGCTAATCAAACTAATATACTACAAAATAAATTTTTAAGCTGCAAAAGCAAAACAATACGTAAGTTTAAATTTTACATATTTATATATTTATTTAGTTTTACATATTTATATATTTAAATAAATAAATAAAGAAAACATATTTATAGATTTTTGTTCCATATATACATATATAAAGGAAAAAGTAAACATCTATAAATTTTTATGTTTATTTTTATGTTTATATATACAATTAACATATTTGTGTCTATTTGTATTTTTATATTCTTCAAATGATTAATATATATAAAAATGTTTTCAACAACGCTCTTATTTTAGTTTATTTTTATCAATTATTTATACAAATAATAATGTAAAATCAATCTATTAAAACACATTTGCACGAAATCAAAGATTTTCTCAATATACTCTTATATCTCAAAATGACATGTAAAATTCAAGATTGAGACGAAATTTTAATACTTGAATTTATTCAAATTAACAAAACATACACACAAATCCTCCATAAAGACCATTGATAACAAACTGACATACGAACATTATTGCAAACATTTTCCGAACTGATAAGAATATTCTAGAACAGAAATTACAAAAGAGATACAGAGACTAAAAAGAAAAAAAGTGAAAGAAAGCTTGCGAAACATTCGTCCTACAGACTGATTAATGACAACAAAAATCGTAAATATATAAATCGATGCCATGTCCAGCCGACCTTTCTGCATTTCATGCACGCATGCAAAATAAAAAGAAAGAAGATTAAATGATACAAACCCGCTTTCGGCTCAAAGTCTTCATCAGAACTCTTCGTGGAACGCGACATCGCGATCCTTCAAATTAAATATCAAACGAAAAGTAATATCGTAAAAAAACCGAAAGGAAAACAGACAAACGCAAAAGAAAGGTTACTAAAGACACGTGTTTCCGTCAACATGAATTTGAATCCAACAGTTACGCTACTCGAACGGCAACGAATATCGTTGACTGTATAAATAATGTAGATAGATATTGTGAAGCATGAAAGAGTCAATGGTTGTGAAGCATTAGAGAGTCAATGGTTGTTCAGTAAACGTAATGCATAACGGTTGACTAATTTCTCAATGTAATTGGTTTAAATTTAGAGATCTAACAGCAAAGACCAATAATCACTGATCGTTCACTGATCGCTTTGTTTCACTAAATACACTCATTGGCGTTTCAGCAAAAAGAGCAGCTTCGCAACTATACGATTCTTACATACCATTCTTTAATATGATTGGTTTGTTTAAATCTGTGAAGAACTAAAAGTAAGAACCAATCATATTAAAGATTTTTATAATAGTTGCAAAACTGCTTTTTCTGTTAAACGCAAATATTTAATATTACAAATGTTTCGAAATTGTTTGGCCAATTAAAATAGAGAATTCTATTAATTGGTCAATCATTCATTGATCAAACGCTTCGAGAAAAAATTTATATAACCAAATAGACTGCATCTCTTAAGATAAAAAATTACAAAAATGAGGAAATTTGTTAGAATATTTGTGACTTTATGTGCCGAAATTTAATAAATGTCCTCACTTTTCTAATTTTAATAACCTTGTTTTAAAATATCAACCGACTTCCTGGAATACAGTCAATTTGGCTACAAATGTTTCGAAGCCTTTTTTTGATTGGTCAATTGTTAAAATTCTTTGTTCTAATTGATAAATTGTTTCGATAAATTGTTTCATTTATAATGAAACTTTGACTGCATTCTTGAATTTACAAATATTAATATTACAAATATTAATATAGTAGATTGTTATAACTAGCATACAAAGATTAAAGATACCAGTAGAATGCTTATATCCATTATATCATATATATATATATTATATGCAACACACACACACACACACGCGCGCGCGCGCGCGCGCACACACACACACACACATACACACACACACACACACGCACGCACGCACGCGCGCGCGCGCGTTTACGCGATTGCTGAGGATATAACTAAAAGAGAAATTTGGAACAATTTTTGGAGAAAAAGGAAAAAATTTAAACAATCTTTTTCGATTAAAAGTGCATTTTTCGTCATTTTATTCTGTTTCAATCGCTTTAATCTATCATTTTCGAATTCAGTGACCAATTTTACCAAATTTATAATTTTCAAATAATTGCAAAATTTTATCTTACGCGATCAAAATTACTTCCTTCAAACTTCAAATATATATATAGAAAAATATAAATAAGTTGCTCTTGCGGAAGGGAAATGTATTCCCTGACGAAAATAAAGTGAAACTAAAGAGTTGAGCGTAAATCGAATGTAGGAGAAGAGTAACAGAAGTGTAAACAAAGCTTCTAGGGAACGTAGATTAGAACAATGGAACGTAAAAGAAGTATTAAAATACTTCGTAAATATTTTACGCTTCTTTTACGTTTCGCTGTTCCAATCTACGCTCTTTAGAAGCTTTGTTTACACTTCTGTCACTCTTCTCTTACATTCGACTTACGCTCAACTCTCTTTATTTTCGTCTTATTTTCGGCAGGGTTTCTATACTTTTAGATTTTATTTCTACTTCCATGAATATGTTGATTTTTTTATGCATTAAAAAAATAATTTTTTTGTCACATGGTAATATAGTAATAAATTAAAAATAAAATTATTTATTTATAAAAATTTTAAATATTAAATATTAAAATATTAATATATTTCTTACAAGTTTTTTTAATTTATATTATTTTAAGTAATACTATTATTATTGTTAAAATTATTAATGTATTATTGTATATGTGTATTTTTTGCGTTAATATTTATACTCAAAATTTATTAACCATATTTATTACCCACTATTCCTTTAGATATAAATGAGCTCTAAAAGCAACGAGAAACTAAGCCCGGCTAGCTCAGTCGGTAGAGCATGAGACTCTTAATCTCAGGGTCGTGGGTTCGAGCCCCACGTTGGGCGATTATTTTTTATTATTATTATTATTTTTTTTATTTTTTAAAGAAATAAAATTATATATTTAAAACTTATCCTAATTATTTATTCTGATCTTAATAATGATACAAAGTTAATTATTTTTTAAATTAACTATTATAATTATTCACATTTAGAATAATTATAAATATAACTTTTTTAAAACATAAGCTTATCAAAAATGTCAATTTCAATTCTTTGCTGCCGATTATACATTATTTTCTATGAAATGTTTTTAGTGATTACAATAAGTTTAAGTAAAAAAAAACATAAGCTGACTGTTATCAATGTGAGAAAATTGATAATTCGATTTATTTCATCGATTTATCATCGTCTTATCTCTCTTTTTCCTACTTTTCTTCTCAAGATATGTTATATTTTGTGCTGTAATCGTCTATTATTATTATCTACAGCGGTCATCTGCAGACGCATAAGGCACAGCATAAGGTGAGTGTATAAGGTGAAAGGCCGTCCCTGATCGGACAAGGAATTTATTTCTTTCTTGACTGATTTTTGCTTAAGTCAAAGAACACGCTACAAAGGACTTGTACATTGATGGGAAAAAAAGTGTTTCTAGGTTGACTATTTGGCCGATTTGCGTGGTGCGACTGCGATCTTTAATCAGTGTCGCGTCGACTTTCAACAGCATCGAAGATACAGATTTATCAGAAAAGGTTTATTGAATAGCTGAAAATATCAATATATTCAACATATACAGCAACGTAATAGCGATACTCGATATTTATTGACCAGATTGAAAATTTCAACCATCGGTATAACAGTATTGGGGTGAGTTTAATAAATAATTTTTTAATATTATAATTAATATTCGTGTTACACTTATCTGTTTTATAATATTTTTAAAAGTTTTCCTCGTTCATAGAGAAATTCAAACACATTATTTTAAGCGAGAAAAAAGATTATAATATTTTATAATCAGTAAATTCTTTTGTTATAATAAATCATAATTAAGAAATTTATTGACAGGAGCAATTAATATATGCTCTGTTTCCATATTTAGACATTATCGCAACCATATTTCTATTTTCGACCATATTTTATTTTGTGTCAGATTTATATTTTCGACGTTACATCATTTAATTTGCCTGCTAATGGAATATTTAAGAATTTAGAATAATTAAAATGTCATCAAATAGAGATATTCTGCGTTACAGAAAAATCCACAAAATATATTAAGAACGAAATTATTCCTCAGACTTGGTATACTCAATTAATAGCCAGACTAATTGAACGTCTGCTATATTCAATCAAGACGAGTCGAGATTCATCTCAATCACGCGCGAAAGTTTTTGCGTATCATTAAGTCCAGTCTCAGATCATTTCGCATGCCCTGCGAACGATAGCCTCATATAACGACACATATATTATATACATGTATTTGATATTCGTACATCTTTTATTCATTTAAATGGTAATTTTTTTAATACTAATAACATTAAATAAATTTAATTTAAATTTAAAATAAATATATATAAATATGTTGAATTATAATTAAGTAATTCCATATAAAAATCGCAATTATAGCATTTTAATTTTATCTTTAATCCTTTGATGACTCTTAGATTCAATTTTTTTCTCGGAAAAAAATATCGAAAGGGATCATAATTCATTGCGTTTTTTTAATCTTCTTGATATTATATATTCTTGCATATTAGATTAAAAGTATGAAGTTTAATAAGAAATTCGTCTTGCTTACTTAAATATATGTAAAATTAATTAATAGTAAAATATGTAAAGAATAAATGAAATTAATTATTTTATAATTTAGTAAATATCATCGCAGCATTATTGATTCATTATTCATTATCATTATCATTTTTTAAACAATGTGCATTACATTTCGCAAGGAAAGAAAAGAATCATTTTACTTCCTTCGCGATAAATCGGAATATATCCTGTGACGTTTCTTGTCATTGTAATGTAAATTTCGTCAGCACACTCTAATCTCTTCGTAAATCGAACGTTTACACTTTGATAACTAACCGGTCGAAGCACATTGAGTGTCTCGTTCGTTGCTCCGCTTATATTGTAACGATTCGCCATCAGACTTTAGTAGAAAACCTGATCTGGGTAGATCGCCAAACAAATATCGGATCACGTACAAGCAACTTTGTTGTTGTAACACGAAACGGTGTATGCGCGCAAAGGGAAATAAGCGATTAGGAGCAACGGGCGATTGGCGAGACAAAATCTTGCCGTGTCTGACTAAGCCGACTGTTTACTACTTGCCGATCGCTTGCATGAACATTGTTAGTTTGACACTTTCGCAGACACTGATACTTTGTTGAACGGTAACTAATTGTATACCGTAATTGTATTTTGGTAACAGTATACGTGATTAACGTTTTAGATATTTTAAATTTACACCTTCCACGATTGACTAAGCTTTAACGTTCGATCTCTCAAATTGCGGATTTCAATCATTCTTCGATAGAAAATTTGAGAAGCTGATGGTTTTTCCGTAAGAAGAATAACCTACTTCCAGGATCCATATCTGTAGTGTGCTTTCGACCCTAGACAATATGGACCGTGTCTAAAATCGGAAAGCGCGGCTTGACCCAATTTCGTGAGGCTGTACGCTTGCGTGTTGCCAAATTGATATTGATCCTTGACAGCAGGCGATAGCATATATGATCATATACTTTTAAGATGTTCAACGAAAAGGGAAAAAAAAGATACTTTACTAAGTTCTTATTTTCCACAATGAAAAATGAAAAAAGTATATATTCTTATATATACATGTTATATAATTAAAAATAATAAAATTAAAACGCATCGCATTGAATTAAATTATTGTAAAAAATAAGAAATTTATATCTAAATTTATATCTAACATAAAAAATAAAACAACAACAACAACAAAAATAACATTTTTTTACAGAACGTAGGATTAAAAATATATAAATTTCGCATCAGTTTTTCTTCACTTTTATTTATTTATTATTTTAATAAGTTTTTATTAAATATTATTATATTTACAGACTATATGTATTTCAGGGTAATAACCTCTAGTATCGTTATCCAGTTATCAATGTCTTCATTAAAATGTGTAATAAATGATATACATATATGCAGTGTGGAATGAGTCATGATCAGTTGTTAGGAAGATAATGCCTCTCTCTTTCAACTTCTTTCCGGGAATGTCTATGTCCTCTGACCTCCTCTTACTGGATTGGATCTCATTCTTTCTTATCGTATCGCAACGGATATGCGTATCGTAGCGTACTATATAAATTTATTTTGAGAAGAAGAAACGATTACGTAATGACGCAGTCGGCTAGGAATCTCGAAACGCACACTGTAACAGATAAATCATGTTAATTGAGCAGAAAGGAATACTAGCAATACTAGATAAGGCAGAGCTTTTGACCTAATAATCTTTTTATTTTTGAATGTATATATAAATTTGAGAAAAAACTTGCTTATATCGCTACATCTGCCGTTATTTTTAACAAGACTTGAAACATAGCGGCTGAAAATCAAAAGAGACTCCTTAGTAAATCAATATTTAAATTAATATCGATTAACTCACTTCTACATATCGATTAATATTTTAGGGAAAAGTCCCCCGGCAATTGGCTTAGTCTCACTTTGATGCATAACGGGAAATCTTTCATTCAGCAAATATTACTTTTACCGAGCACTTTATTTGACATTACGCTGTTATCTTACGCTATACCTCATCTATTCACAAGGTGAATGCTAGCACATCAGATTCACTTGCAGTATTACGAATCAATTGTTCAACCAAAAACGGCGCGCGAATTTGCGTTGAATTACTGCGATTGGCCTTCAACCCTACTGATATTATGGTTCGTGTCAACGCACCTTTGAAAAGTAAAAAATGAAACGGATAACAAGAAAAATATATAAAATAATTACATATACATATAAGCATTATATTTAATTATAATAACATATTGTTGTTACATTTATTTTCATTAATTATATACATAAATTACAAATAATTTTATTTCACTTAACTTCGTATATACGTCTTCGTGGTTTCCATATTTATGGATGTTTTTTACAATTGGTCTGTTTTTTATAGCTAAACTTGATTGTTGTATTTAAAATAAAATAATAGATATTTAACAAAAATGAAAATTTTAGTGCAGCTCAGTGCAGGAACAAAAAAACAAATTCAACTCAACAAATAATGATTCATAAATACCGATATGAAGAAGAAGCGTAATCGATGCGTCGCGAAGCTCGAAAAGCGCGTAATTTTATGAAGCTATTAGGCAGGTCAGTCAAAGAGTCGTAGTTCATTTCGGAAAGCCGATCTTCCGTTATTTTCGTTAGGGTTCCCCCTATACTTATCTAGGTCACGGGCACTCGGAGAGAAAGAGTCCATTCTTTCTTCCGCGCCTAAGAGACCTGACATATGGGATTTCGGCCGAAAACCCACATCGATACAAACGTAGGATAGAAACTGGGGAAACGACGTCGACGTGCGATCGCGCGTGGACGCGACTTTTTTAAACGTCACGTCGTTTCCCCGATCCCGGAGCGGAGGGAGGGGGGGGAGCAGCGAGGAGGAGAGGAGGGAATGTCTAATATTTTTTTTTATCCCACCGTGGTAAAAGCGTCGGGACACACACAAGGCGTCTGCGCGTACCGCGCTATGTATAGACGGTGATACGCCTGGGGCATCGGTTCCTTCGTGCGAATTATATGTATGCTCATTGCAGGGCCGGTCATCGGCCAAAGCGCACGTTGCTCCTCACGGGAAACGCGGGAACGTGCTGGAAAAAGAAAAAGAAACATCTCTCGATACTTGTCAGTGTGTGCGCACCTGACGAACGAAGAAATTAAATATCCACGAAGAGAATCCGCGTCTCTGTCATCTCGGTGGTGTCTGGACACTTTGCGGCGCGCACGAAGATTTCACGCGATTCACGCGATTCACGTGGAGATCGAGATAGATAGTGTTATGAAGAATTTTTTAAACTTTGAAATAAACGTATGACAGAAGAATCGTTCCTTTTGAATCAAGTGTGTGTGTGTGTGTGTGTGTGCGTGTGTGTGTGTGTGTATGTGTATGTGCGCGCGCACGTGTAAAAATCGTATGCGTGGGATGTCTAATGAAGAAGTGAAGTTTATCAAGTTTATCAGCTGTTGATCGATCGTCAAATTAAATTTAAATGTGTCTTTCGATTGATCGATGCGAGTACAAGGAGACATTGCGAAGGGCAGCAGTTTAGGAAAACGAAGAACAAGGTAATCGATCAAATTTGTAGATTTTGGAAAAAACAGGGACAGGGAGTTCTTTTCGACACAGACATGATTGTTTGAGTTTCCAAAAGTCTAATACGAGATATTTAATCGTCAAAACAAAGCGTTATATATTTAGATAATTTTAAAAATATAAAAATTTTGAAAAATATTGAAAAATTGCAATAAGAAATCGTTTTAAAAGAATCTTTTTCTCTGCAAAGAGCACAATTTTGGATTTATCATTAAAATTAAACAGATGATCCACGTTCGTAATTATTTTACAACTTTTGCCGGAAATGCCGGATTCCTGTTAATACAATTCCGGTTAATACAATAATTAACCGCTTCTTCGTCGGATCGAAGTTAGAATTTTTATCTAGCTGAATGTTATTTTTGCACTAAATGCTATGCTTAGAGGTCGAGAAACGCATACATATTCGACTGAATATACATAAAGCGCTATCGCGTTTTTAACACTATTTCCGCAAGTTCTTCGGCAAGAAACGACTCCTACAGTCACGATTTCGACTTTTTACAGTTTTCTTAGTAGCCCAGTGCTATCGGAGCAATGTTTATCGGGTTTGAAACGAAACATGCAGTCACGTTTATGCCTGTGAAAATATTGTAAATTTCGGCATACATGAAACGGCAGCGCCAAAAGCCCAGCAACGGTACGAATAAACGTTTGCTTTCGCGCGATTATCTTCACGGGCTGACGACCGAGAAAACACAGATCGTTTAATTGCAGATAATTATCCTTAAAGTCTACGTTAATTGTCCGTCGTATTTTCATTGTTCCGACACATCGTGAACACATAAACTAAATTAAAAAAAAACCACCACAGAAGAAAACTAAATGATTAAAAGAGAGCGAAAACTGCAAAGAAGAAATAATATTTTAATAAAATTAAAATTTAGGCTCTTTTTAACAATAATATCGAAGTCATTATAATTTCTATCTTATAATCGTAGGCGAATGATTCATTAAATTTACCAAATTTTTCTATATACGTAAATTATATATATAATTATGTATATAATTATCAATTTACATTTAAATTTATAAAAAGTTAGAGTAAATTAAAGAAAGAACATGAGGAATTTTTAAAATAATTTTTTGATTATTAATTAGTATAACATTATCGTCTTAAATCTTTCTTCAACTCGCAACATTCTTTCTCCGAGTTTACCGATGCTATCGATTCCAATGTTGATCATTCGCAGAAAATCGTATCGCATGCAAATTACGCGATATTCTCAACACTAGAGAAACGTAAAGTATTGATTTCCATGTGGCATTCTTAAGAATCAAAACACATGATAATGATACTTTCCGAAGTTTAAAAAATTGTTTGATGTTCAATGGATTTGAATTTCGATAAAAGGAGCTGGCACCTTTTTCATAAATATAAGTTCAACAAATTCTAAGTACCCTTTTCAAATACTTGCATCTTTGTAATTGTTAAAACTGGAAATCAAAGATGGCAATCATAAAAGTTAAGTATGTGATTATCCAATAAATTCATCAAAAGTTGTATTATATTTTAAATCTAAGCTCCAAAATTACAGACTTGCGTTATTTGCGTTGTGAATACTCTGATTAATTTATGTTATTATTTCGAAATGACTGGGTGCTGGGGCAATCTGAAATCTGAAGAAGTATAATGCATATGCAAATAGTTGTTCCGGTTGTTGCGAAGACGCACGATGGAACTCGGTGAAGCCTGCGCGGTGCTTGTGAAAGTAATAAAATCGTTACGTGGCTTTTCGATATCGGGGTAGATCTGGCTGGCGACGGGGCGTAAATTCGCTTTCCCTCCTCCGAGTGAGGGCAAGTTACTACGTGTGTATATGTATATGGCAGAGAATATAGATACCTACCACGAATTGTATGCTACAAACTGTACACGAAAGGGAAGTATTGATCACGTCGTCGTTCCAGAGCGGCCATCTTTAATGGTGAGAGGAAATCATTCGCAAAATTATTGCGTGCCTTTTATCCGACAGGATTAGTTACACGTTAGTTAAAAATTTTTTGAATGCGATTTTACCATATAATGAGAATAAATTAAAAGATTAATATTTATAGATTAATTTATTAAACATTTATTAAAATTATAATTAAGCCCACTCTTCTGTTCGAATTATTATATATATTGTATATATATTTGGATCAGTAAATCAAAAAGCTCTAAAAAATATTTTATTCCAAAGAAAAGAGATCTTAATTAATATATTACCAGTCATTAACAGATAAAATTATTAAATTCCAGAGAAAAATATTATTAAATTAAATATTTGAAAGAAAAAAAAAATATTTTATTTCAAACAGATCCTAACAGAATTCTTACAAGAATTTATTTTCTCTAATTAATTTGAGAGATATACTTTTTTACAAATTTTTTTTCCAAATATACACATTGCCTGACAATCTAAAATATGATTATTTTAGTAATAATTATAATAATTAATAATGTGCTATTTTTCTCTCTTTCATTTATTTATTACACGCAAATTATTTAAATCATTTTAGATTTTACTTGCAAAAATACGATTATCTCGATTTCACCTCACTTTATCAAATGTTTTTAATTCTCACTTCTCTGAATGCCTTAGATTGCATCAATTAAATTAATATCGATCAATTCATCTAACTTCATCGAATATTTTGAGCGAGGACTGAAAAAATTAGCTTTATCACGATGAGATGATTGACCATATCTTTCATAGGCGGTGTATCTTTTTCGTCCTGAGATTTGCTCATGGGTTTGATGTCTAGTTCTATAATGCAAAATTGTCAAGCGCGGAAATCGCACACAAGTCCGACATAGTTCTAGAAAACTGACTCGTGTAACCCGACACGCGTTCGCGTGGATCGTAGTGTTTTCTCAGAGCGTCACGCACGATCTCCCGCTAAAGAGGTGTGAGTCAGATTATGAAAAATTTATCGAGCGCGCCGTTTAAGCGCTGGAGGAACGTTTAAACATTGAACAACATGTTTGAGGCAAATCGGCTTGGACAGGAGCGAGTCATGGGTGAGTCGCGGTGATTGTCGCGTTATTTTACCGTAGGCGATTATTATAATTATTATAACGTGCTCGACGCGGAGCGCGTCATTCTCTCCTTGTCGCACTTGAGCGCCGTACCTCCCGTACAGATGAATGAATCTCCGACGATCGCGAACGTAAATCTTTCCTAGAAGCGATCAATAATGCATCTCATGAATTTTTGTCTCGTACATCGATTGCGCGTGCATGTCGCGCTCTGCTATATAATAATAATATATATGGTATCACGACGCCTGCTTTAAAAAGACATAAATAATATGAATTGATGTCTGTTTTACGTATTGATTAAATTATTGGTTTACATTGCGTTTACATCGTCGATCATTTCGTTGAATAATCGAATTTTTATCGAATTTTTCGAAAAGTTTTTTAAAAGAGAGAAACAAGTATATTTCGTATATTTGTTTTAATTTTTAATTTAATAGAAATAATAGTGCTAGTATAATATTCCACATATAAATATATTCTTCTTTTAACACGGACACATGGCAAACAAAAGACATTTTTACAAGATTATAATTAAAACGTTCGTCCTATTGATCGAATTAGCGCGCAGTCAGATTCCATGACGAGTCGATCGAAGAAATTATGAAATATAAAAATTTTTGTTTTCTTTGCGACATTCGATCATCGTAAGAATAGCAATGCAATCTGCGGCCTTACTCCGCTCGATATCGAGCGAGAATAACGTGGCTATCAGCCACGATCGTGTCTGACGTGCTGATTTAATTCGTAGGTACGTTGCCGCGTAATATTTATAGCAATGTTCGGTAACGTATTCCGTGGACACGTGCGCGTGTGAGTAATAAGTTTATGCACCGGGCATTGCGTGCTCGAGCGGGAGACATACGAGCCGCTTCGGCAACTTGATTCATCCGCGTACGGTAAACAATAAAATCCCGATTAATAGCGATTCAGCATAAGAACACTTTTGCCCGATCTCGTCGTTCTCGACGTATAAACAACGCGCGCGCGTGTGTGAGATACCGACGATAAATCGTCACACTTTGTACAACCAGCGAGATGCTATTGTTACAACCTTGCTAGCTGTATCGCGCAGCTTTGCAGCTGCGAAGTATAATATGTCAAAATATTGCGTTAGATGTGTTAAACGATATTATTATTTACAGATAGAATGTATCATGCATTTTCTTAAGGGTTTTCCAACAGATAATTTCTCTAACGATTTCATCATCCACTTACTATATCCGATATTGATCTGAGACTAATGTTTACAACTTTAAGTATCTGATAAGAGCATGCGGACGTTTTTTCGAAGATATCGATCGCATTTCATAATTTGTCGTAATATTGTCCGCCAATTTGAAAAATTAGCGCTGCTCGGGTAAAAATAACGATACAAAATGTGGAAACGAACGATGGATATAAACGATGTAAAAACGTTAAGTAGCATAGTTTGTAATCATTGCACGCTAGAAATTGCGTCGCGCAGCGGAACGCGCCTGTCTTTTCGCATGTTTGTTTTACAATTACGGCGACAACGACGGGTGCCGTCGTCTTTCGATGTGCGCGATAATTATTCATTTGGCCTCGCGAAATTATCGTTGCAGATAAAGCCACAGGTAATTTTCATCGGTTATCGAATGCGAAACATTCGGAAAATGGGAAATGTCCGCTATCGCGGAAAGCGTTTGCTCTTCCCTCGTAAATTGATGCCGCGCGGCCTTACTCCACTTTTGATCGTGCGATCGTACTCGAGTCTTAAGTATTCACGCGCTTCCCGGCAATACACGTGAGTCACGGACTCAGGTGGTATTAAAATGACATGTGACGCGGTTTGCGAGCAGTAATAATCGCAAAGTAACGTATGCTATTGGATTAGTATTGGTATTTGAATAGCATTAATTTGAAGCTTTCCCGCGGAAAGAATCTAATTAAATCTTTAACCGTCGATCGATATTTACAATCCTGTTTTGAATGAAAGGAATTGAAAAATAGGATACAATTAATTTACAAACAAAATTACATTTTTTTCATAACTTTATAGAAAATTACGTTTTAATTACACAACTTATAACTTACTGTGACAGAGCAGACACGAATAAATATACCGGTAATTGTTACTTTATTACCCCGTTATAATATATATTGTTATAGCAAGAATTAAATCGGCTAGTGATGCACGATGCGGACAATTATATCGAATTAATCATCATGGAAAAATTCGCAATGAGGCAAATTTTCCGGTCTTGCAAAAGCATATTCCGGCCGCTTCGGTTTTCTTCCATTTTCAGAATCTCTCTATCTAACTTCCGCTCATCTCTCTCCTCTCTCTTCTTTTATCCATCTCTGTTCCTCTCATTGTATCCCGTTCATTCGTTTTCGCGCTTCCTATCTTCGAACGATGACGGGGAAAAATGTCGATGGAGTCGTTTATTCGAGAGCTATTCGGTGCTGCGTATTTTTCTAGGTCGAACGCGAGTTTTCTTCGCGCGGGGGGAAAAACGACGGGGAAGGAAAGGAAGCTGGAGTAGGAGCGCATCGGCAAGATGATGTATCACGTGATGTCATTTATTTCGCAAGTATATATCGGATATATCGGCTATATCGCGTCATTTTGAAACGACAAAAGCGCGGCGTCTTATCCGCGATCGGTTCACTCGTCGATTGTCGTTCGCCGGTGTAGCTCGATCTATATCTCTTCCTCTCTTCCGAGGTGGTTTCGCTCGGGACTAGATCATCGTCATTATTAAGATCGACCTCGATCGCGCGATCTCCGGAAATTAGTTACGTACAGTGCAGATGTCGATGGAAAAGTTACGTGCATTCCTCCTCCGTAAGAAGTGCGCGAAGACGCGTGGCGACAGCGATTGCGACATGGCCACGCGGTTGTTGATCGACAATGGGGACCGCGCGAAAACGAAGAGGAGCCGCGTATCAAATAGAGGCAAGTTTCTCGGACAATCAAATCTAAATCAAAAAGTGAAAGTTTCACGGAGCATCGGTCGCAAGTATTTTCGAAACGCCGCAGAGGAAATATAACCGAATCTGCGATGGCAGATTGGCGATGGAAACCGCCATTTTAATCGCATTTTAAATAAAACGTTTCATTTTGTTTAATTTCTACTCTGCCGATCTGTTGTCACACACAGACTAGTAAATTCTGATAAAATACAAAACTCACTGCAACTGATGTCAGTCTATTGAAATATCTAATCTGTTATCAATCTGCTAGCACACTGATAATATTTTGCTTACTTAGGAGTTAATGACTGGGACAACATTCGGCGAAATAGACGGGAAATTGATTTTACTATGTGCAGCGATTTTTAGCAGTAAAATAAAAGTTGAGAAAATTTTTAAAAAATCGTGTCACGGAAAGTGTAGTTAAAGCAGAAAAATAGATTTATAGCATTCGAAAAGATTTCAACCTTGAAATTATAAATATCTTTTTTTCGTCATTCACCTTTTTGATTGAGAAAAATTCTTAATAATTGATCAAAGTAAAAATTTTACTGAAAAAATTAATATTCATATCAGTCTTTTAAATATTTTTATAATATAAATTAAATATAATCATAATAGATCGAAAAATTATATGTAATCTTTTATGTCTTTTTTACACAAAAAGAATGATTTGCTGAAGTGTCATCAAAAAGATTCGCTCAGATACAGACTTGAAAATAACTTTGCTGGACCATATAAAATAATTATATAGGATCCTTAAACACGATGATAACATTGCAAAAAATTATGCGATATTTTAGCGATCAATTTGAACTACATGTTGTTCTACATGATTATTTTGATGATGACTCAACAAAGTTATTTGCAGGTCTGTATCTGACTATATTTTTAGATACTTCAGCAAAATCTGTTCTTTCCGTATAATTGAATAAATCCAGTTATCGCATTCGCTCTCTTTTCGCTCTCAAAATAATACAGCATATAGTTCACACGGTTCCGTTGCGTCTCTTGGCATTATTCCGTCCCAGCGCGTTTCCTCCTCCTCGTCATCCGCTCGGCGAAATTCTCGAAGTCTCTCGCGAGAAGAGCGGTCGCTAAAAGACCCGATGCGCTATTGATAAATATTTACAGGCGCGCGATATCCGTTTTCCTGAATTCAAGCGCGATTACCACGCCGACACGACGACCGCGCCAAGGTTTCCATCGGCGATGGAACCACGACGTCGGTGTCTCCACCATCTCGACGCGTGGAGTATTTTTTCGCACATTCGCCATTGTGAGGGCATGCAGCTGCGTCGTCGCGCGGTGCCACGTATGGCGATTCAATTCGCACGTTTCTGCATTGTCGTCCCCCGTCCTTTTCGCCAGGCCGTCCTCGGCAGACCGTCCTTCCCCCTCGCGCGCGCCGTCGCGTCGCCCTCGGGATGATGCGACCGATCGATCATGCCTGCGCTCCGCGCAACACGCGAGAGAGAGATCGAATTATTATTAATAGACGTTTGCATACGCGCGCCGCGGAACACGCTCGTAAATGCCGACTTTACGGCGCTCCTCTAATTGCGCGCGAGGAGAACCTTCGCGGCTCGGTTGTTTCGTCGCAACGCGATGTCTGCAGTTGCGACGAGCGTAGCGCCGTAATATGGAACATTTTTTTTGTCGGCCATATTAAACGACAGTCCGTCATCCCGTTAACTACGGTACATACGGAAACGTACGTTTGTCGCCATACAATGATTTCGGAGCGAAGTATAATAGCGCTGTCTTCGTAGCTTCGTGCGCCACGCGTTCAATTCGTATGAAGCCGTGTCTGAGAGCGAATACGAAGTAAAGCTGTGAAGTGTGAACGAGCACCTAAGCATGAAAGCACCTTTTCACAATCTGGAAATGACGATTTCTTTCTTGGGAATAGACCCGAAAGTTCCATTTCACACTTTGTAACTTGCATCTTTTTAATGAAATGATTTATTAAGTACTTGTTGAACGAGTTGGATTTTAACAGTTGGATTTTAACATAATTAATGTCAGACATTTCAATCATATTGGATATTAAGGATTGGGACATAACGCGTTATTTGTTATATCGTTATCGTTACAAATACTTTTTTTCGATAACGTATAACGACGTTGTATCGTTTTAGTAACAACGCAATTATATTTATTGGATAATGAATATAATCTTAGAATATATGAATATAATCTTAGAATATAATCTTAATTACTAATAGTAACTTTGCATATGTTTAATTATTAGGTTAATTATTAGGTTTCATACATACATAGAACTGCAACAAGCGAATTTTAAAAAAAAAAAGACCTTCAAAATTTGGTGAAATAAATAATAGAAATTGCAATAATTTGTTATTTCTCGAGCAATGGTAATGGTAACGAGTTACTTTTTTCAATAAGTAATGAGTAACGATTTTTCAAAAATAATTTTCTCTTTAAATATTAAATAATTAACAATTAAAAAGTTAAATTTTTACGGAGAGAAAAGATAGATACTTTCCTTAATTTAAAGTTACATTATTCTTGAGACGTTGCACATAAATCATTACAAAAAAGAAATCTAAGACTATGATTTGTAAAGTCGACTTCATCTTTTTACAAAATCGATCAAGGAGAGGTCATTATCAGCTTAAGGCCCGTCATGGACATATGTTCGATCCATTCG